ATAGTACTTTCATTCATAATTCATAACGGAAACAACATTACAACATTTTTTGTCTTTTTACACAATAATAAAACTTACAACAATGATTTAAGTATTGGAGTGAACAAAGAAAAGTGTGGGGTTTAAATAGAAAATCTCAAAGAAAAAAGTCCAAGCATGAATCTTGTTAAATTGATCGTATCTTATTATTGATAGTATTAAAAGGGGAAATGTTTGCATATATGGGCTTAGACAAGTTAGCTAGAGCGGTTATGCTCCCCACTCTGCATCTGAGTTCGAATCTCCCTTTTCTAATTTAAATCACTTATATCAAAATCAGATAAATAAAGAAGAGAAATGTTTAATAAGGTTTTGGGACCATGTAAGTAAATTGGAACGTTTTTAGAATCAACCCGTTAATGATTTTTTTGGTAATTTACCACATAATATTGAAAAATATTTCAAGTTCAATATTCCACTTCGAAAAGTCAAAACAGAAGTTTATGAAAAAATGAGATGAGGTGAGATTCACAAACATGAGTAGACATCACTTCAATTTATTGAGAAAATTTCTTGGAAATGTGAGATGAAATTCACAAACAAACATGAGTAAGTCTCACCTTGAATTAGGATCATCCGTGAACCTCAAAATCTTAAATTGTCAGACTGAGATGATAGCAATACACAAACCTCCACCCAAAAAGCAACTATAAAAAAAACAAAAAAAAACAAAAATAGTCCATAACATGGCAAGAGCTATACTGGTTCTATAATTGAAAAATAGACAAAGAAAGTCCATGAAGTGAGGAGAAAAGACTGAGAAAAACAATATTTATTGGAGTACGTGCTAGGTTTATGGGCTTCAGCAATATCTGCGGTGTGTTTATCGCTGTCTACCTCCTCCAACAACATGTGCCATTTTTTACCTCTTCTATTTCTGATAACCACACTTTGAAAATTCATATTAAAATCAAGAGAGAATATTCTTCATTTCCTCCTTAAAGATAAGAACTACCCTAATCCGACAAAATCCCAACTGGGTTTTCTTCTTCAGGCACAAAAACACAGAGAGAGAAAGAGAG